AGTTATAAGAGGGCATATTCCCAGTTTCTTTTTAACTTTGTAGATCACCTCCAGTAGACAGATTGTCTCGTGAACCACTTCCCCTCCCCAGTGCTGAGCCACGACCCAGGACCCTGACATTGGGCTCCCCCGCCGCCCCAGCCCACAGCAAGTGCATTCAGATTTCTTGGAAGAATATACTCAACAGATGGAAGTTTAGTACTATTTTTACCGTTACTGGTAGAGTGAATGTAGAGAGCATGATAATCGATTATCTGGGACAACAGAAATGCACAGGAACTGGAATTTCAAGGATTAGGGTCTCCCCAAGGATTTCCTTCGAGTTTCAGTGAAGGGAGAGATAACCTTTGTGGTAGAAACGGAAACATGGCTTTCAGTTCCCATCTGCGGCCAGCCTCCGGACACAATAGTATTAAGGGTGATGTGAACTTCCTCTGTTCATCGCCACGGGACGGGAGCCTCGACGCAGTTATCTGTGCTTCTATAGCAACACTGTTCAACCTCTCACAGCTTTTTTTTTTGTCCTGCCAGAGACGTTCAACTAATGCCTGCGTTTAACATGTCTGTTATGGGGTAACAGTCCCATGTTTCATCTGTTTTAAAGGACATTTATGGAAATTAGGTGGCAATTTTATCCTGAGTAATCAGGCTAATATTCTGTCACTCTTACTCAAGTGTTACTCAAGTGGCCATGGCTCTTAGAAAATAGATGTTAGGTGTTTTCAGTTAAGTGGCTTTAAACGTATGTGGACCAAGCAGTAGGATTTCATTGCAAATGCATTGTCCCATTTTAGTGGAAGCTTTGCATTAACAAGATCCATCCTAATAAATTATTCTGTTCAACCTGCCTTGTGACTTATGCTATCGTAAGATCCTGCCCTTAATATTAAAATGTAAGGACAGATTTCCTCTCCCAAGGCTAAGCCTGCATAAAAAGACTTACACTGAAGCTAAGAAATCCTCTGTCTGGATCAAGATAATTTTTCTCTGAGACTAAGGAGAAACAAATATCTATGCACTTCAGAGAGGAGGAAATTCTGCTGTAGATTGTTCTTCCTCCGTCTTGTTAAAAAAGGGAATCTTGACTTAATATATAGTCTGTTTCCAAACTATTGGCATCTTTCACAAATATAGGCTGGCTGGCTTATGAACAGATAGCACAGTTTGTATAGCCAAAGATAGTTGTCATCATGCACTTATTAATGAGTACACATATCTCTGAACATCAAATGCTGTGCTATTTTCAGAGAGGTCCTTTCAGATCCTGTTTTCTGTTCTTTTTTTAAAATTACTTTTCCTTGCCCTCCTGACATTTTCCTTCAAAGCTCAGTGGTAGAAACCAGAGAGGAAAGGACTTGGGAAAGGAGATGTTCTCATCTGTCCAGCTTCCCCATGTCAGAAGCTACTCTGTGCATGTCATTCCTGACAGATGTTTGCCTAATCCGCTCTTAAAAAACTCCAATGATGGGGCTTTGACAGTCTCCTTAGGCAATCTGCTCCAGCGCTTTGCTGTACCTATCGTTAAGAAGGGTTTCCTGATATCTAACCTGCAATTAAAGGCCACGATTTTCCGTGCAACCCATCATCAGGCTGATCTTACAGCTAAGCCAGCTCCACCAAGTCGACTGCAGTTTCCTTGCTAGATCTTCCTTGCCAAACACTGCTTGTTGGGTAACGTGCTCTCTTCTGCCATGAGTAGCCAGGGCAGTGCGAGTGCTGCCGGTTTTGTCGAGTGTCCAGCCCGGCGTCCCATGGGCTGGTGATGGGCACGTTTCCCTCTTGGATGCCATGCAGCTGACGGGAAGGCGGCTGCCTGCCAGTAGAGGCTATTGAATTAGGAGATTCAGTAAATCCCAGGAGAGGTGCTGCCACAGTGAAGTTGCAGCAGTTTTGCGCTGATAAAACTAGCAGTGCTCACCATGATCCCAGGCCTCAGAACAGGAGCTGAAGCCTTTTTTGTTCTGGAACAAAATGTGCTGTGAGAGCAGTTGTACCATATATTGCATATGTGCAATCAATCACATCTAGCATTTTGGACATACATTTTTTGATGAGAGCATTTCTCTAACGATTTTAGCAGTTTAAAAGCATTTAAAAAATGAGAGAGATCACAGGTTTGGCTTGTTTTTTTTTCAGTTGCTTCCTTTTAAACAATAGCAGGCAAAATACATCCCTTGGCAGCCAGGCCTGATGGAGAAGCTGTAGATGCCAGCTTGCTGTGAGCGAGGTCGAGATGCTGGGGAGCTGAGGCAGTTGCTTACTGGTGTGCAGCAGTGACTGAGAGTGAGTCAGTGTAGATACAGGCATATGACAATATTACCATGGCAAGATAAACTCCGAGACACTTTTTTAATATGCTTAGAACAGTGCTGAGCATTGTAAGAGTGTTTCCTTCTGCAAATTATTTACAACTGGAAGATGGTAGTAATGAATTCATGTAAAGCAACTGGAGAATTAGCCCTGACTGCTGGGAATAGGTATTTTTTGCAAGGGAAAACGGCTAGCTAAACTAGGTATACTTTTACTGCCTGAATAAATTGTAGCAGTATGTCGCTAAACTGGTTTTGAGACTAGGTAATTTTGGTGATGCCCAAAGTTCAATAAAACAAGATTTGGATCAGTGGGAGAGGGGGCATGTTGCCATCAGCAGGGGTGAATAACCTTTGTGTAACTGGCAATTTTGGTAAGTGGATCAAGGTCCGTGGGGTTTGTCTCTGTATTTTGACACATGCATGACAAACACCCTGATATCCATTTCATTTTACAAGGTGTGTGCGTGCACCAAGATAATGCTCCAGAGGGTCACTGGCAGGTTACAATGTGCCAGCCGTCACGTGCACAATGTCTAGAATAGTGCCAAGATACAATTTCAGGGGTATGGGGGCACCAGTAGCGTTCAGAGCCCTATATAACACCTGTGCCCCACGCAACATCTCACTAGCGCTCTGTCACTGAGCTTCCCGTGGGCACCTGTGATTCCGAGCTGACAGGTCCGTTTCTATTTGTGCAAGGTATTTTTAAGGCATTTGTCCCCCAGTTGCCTTCTAGATGACCTGGAAGAGCTTCAGCGACTTGCCCGTGTTTCTTCATGGAGGAGAGGAAAGGACAAATTTTGTTTTCGAAGTGAGAATTGGGTTCTTGGGTTTTTCTAACAAAACACGGTTAAATTTGGACTTTGCATTCCACGCAGCATGGGAGGTAGATTTATTGTGCGAGAGAGGTTTCACTTTCAAACGAATAATTAGAAGAATACATTTAAACCGGTGTCAATATAAAAGTGATTTCAGGTGCTCAGGAATGCTCTGCCTCTTCCTTGTGGTTTGAAGGAAAAATTTTAAACATTTTCCACCCCGCAGCTATTGAGGGCAGTGAAAGAAAATACCTATGAGCTCCTAGGAAACATATGGAATAAACTTGTTTCCCACTTCCCGCTTCTTGTAATAATCATCAGTTGTAGGTACTACTTGAAACATACTTTTGGACAAACTTTGCACTTTTAAAAATGGTATTTTCTGTCACCAGAGTTTGTTCACACCACATGGCTGACAAGCAGAGGCCCAAGTCACAGCCCGCTGGAGTCAACGGGGTTTCGATGTGGTGCAACCCCTTCATGTTTTCCTAAAAATCCCCGGCGCTGTTAACCATGGCTCCCCTTTCCCACCCCTTCTCCCTGGGGAGAGGCAGAAGCCTATTTGAAGGCAAACAAGCCGTAGAGCCTACAAGGTGTAAATATCTTTCATAAATGCCAACGCTGAAAAAGCCTGGGCGCCGGGAGTGTGACACACGACGACAGGCAGTTCACGCCGCGTGAGGGGGGAACGATATGCCAGTGCTGCTGCAGCCGCCGAGATGTGCGTGCGTTGCACCCGGGCATCCCTGGGCCCCCCTGCCCTGGGGAGGGACGTGGGGCAGCTGGAGGGATGGGGAGCAGGACTACCTGATCCTCGCCCCGTCGCCTCTGGCTGCTCCCCTCGCCCCCCCGTTCCGGTCTGCCCCACTCTGCCCTCCTCCTCTCCCCGGCTTCTTTGGGCAGGGGCTGATTTAAATAGGTTGGCAGGGAGCCAGGAGCTCATCATTTTAATGCAGTGTAAAATGGAATGTGCATAATTATATGCAGGCCATATGTGAGGGAGACAGCTCAGCTGTGAATTTCAGGAGGCTGCGAGAGGGAGAGAGCGAACAGTCAGGGATCAGATGAGATGGAGCGGAACGGAGTGCAAGTGTCACTCAAATGAACAGTGTAATGAGTGTATTGCTGACACTCCTCCTCTCACCTGCTTCTCCCTTTTGCTTTAACTCAAAAGCAGAAAACGCTGTAGGGAAAAATACTATATGCAAGCAGGATTGCTAATGGGCTCTGGTAATGTCTCCATTTAAACTTCAGCTTTCTTAATTAACAGCATAGTTCCAAATAACCGGTAACTTTTAATGCATCTTTGTCATTAAATATTTTGACCACATTTGATTGAAGGATCTTTGTTCTCACTAGGTGATTGCTCCTTTCAAAGCTTCACTTAAACATGGAGGGGGGAATCCATTTATCTATAATAGTATCACATGTAAATTATGAGTATGAAAACTTATTTATTTTTTTTGGCCTTGCTGTTAAACTGAAAATACATTATCTAGGGATTGCTTAAGCATGTCAAAAAGTTTAAACGAGTACGTATGTAATGTAATCCTGAAAAATGCAATGGAGTAAATTGAAACTCTGAGTTGCTCACAGTTTCCAGCTCAAATATTTCATTTTGGGTTTGTCTTTTGTTGTTCTAATTATTACACCACAATGAATTTGCATGTTCAACCTAAGCTATGTAAGAAAACAGCATCCCAAGTTCTCATATCTAAAAGGTGTACTGCGTATTTAAAGAAACTTTTAAGTAATGTTGTATTTTGGGATTCCCGTCTGTTTTAATGATCTGAGCTGTTATGCTTTTAGCTATTTTTTTTTCCTTCCATTATTTGTAAGTCCCTAAATAGGCCATTATATTTCCCTTCAGGCTAGAGATGAAGATGGACATGCTGAAAATTTTCCCCAGCAGCACTATGCTAAGGAAACTCCAAGACTTGCCTTCAAGAATAACTGCGAACTACTTGTAAGAATAACATACTTACAACAAGTCTAGATTGTTACTTTAGCACAGTGAAAACCGTTTTTTTTTTTGAAAGGCTTTTGTTCATTATGACATACATTATGAAATATGATAGGTTTTTTTTTCCTGTTTAGCGTTCTAATGCTAGTTCTGCTATCCATGAACAATTTAAGATCTCAAATTGCTTGAAAAATCTCTTACATTTGATGACAGCACGTGAATGGCCTTGTCGTACTACCTTGTCTCGCACGGTAAATCAGGGAGAGCCATGCAGGGAGCAGCTGGTGATGCACGAAAAGTCCCCCCCCACACCCCCCTGAGGCACCCCAAAAGTCACTCTCCCGTCCACCTTTTAGCTCTGCCTTGTTTTCGGGCGGCAGCGCCACATTTTATTCTGCTGACACGCTGTACTCCCTTTAGAGCTCGCCTTATTCCTCCCCTTCCTAGCTGCATGCAAGCAGGAGCATCCTCTCCTCTCCACTCCTCTCCTCTCCACTCCACTCCTCTCCTCTGCTGCGGGGAAAGAGCAAAAGCCAGGAAAGCACATACAGGGAGCCTGGAGTGTTTACAAGCTGTAAGAGAGATGATATCAGTTGTGAAAGCATCTCCATTCCAAGGCAGGGTTAATTCACTGTTCATTTTAGCATTTGCAGCTAGGCGAGATTAAAAGCAAGCAGGAAAGCCTATTGTATTTCTATTAAATGAATCTGTTGGGACCTAATGTTCTTGATTAGCTTGCGAAAATGAGTGCTCCACGATGAGTTTTTCTGTTTGCCTAAAGTAAACTGAGAATGAATTGTAATACATTTAAGAGAAATTAACGCATGGCTTTCAAAAAGGGAGTTTTAGATGAATTGGTAGATCTCTCCCTCGCATTCACCTTTCTTCTCAGCCGTACTTAAGTAAAATGTATCGTTTGGCTAAATGGAAATATTTGTGGAGAGTCGGAACACGGGGTCATGTTTTGAAACAACACTTTTTTTCCTCATTGTAGCTGTAGGAGAGGCGGGTGGTGGTGGAGGAGCAAGCTGTGTTTCCTCTGCATTAAAACCCGTGTCTGTCTCCCCCGTAGAGGATGGGCAGGGCCAAACGCTAATCTTGGTGTCCCAGGTGCAACATCCAGCAAAGTCGAGCTGATGAGCCGAGGTAACCCAGTGCCGAAGCCAGCCCCCAGATTCAGGCAATTGATCAGAGAAGCCCAGACTGGAGGATGGCAGCCTAGGGGTGGTGGCCGGTCCCTGCTCCCAGCACTGGCCAGAGCACAGGGCATCTTGGCCACACCTGCACTAGTGGACCCACAGGCTCTTCTGCCCCCCAGGTGTCCCCTGTGCTGAGCCTGTCCCTGGTTAGGTAATGGCAATGCTTTTCAGAGCCTTGGAAGGGTCAATTTGTTCCCAGTATAATTCTCCCCAGCCAAAACCGACGTGACCCATAAGACCTGATCTTGCTTCCTCTTACACCCGTTGCAAAGTTCCTGTGGGTTTCAGGGTCAGCAGGGTTATGTCCTGAGGGGAGGAAACCAGACAAACACAAAAAGCGATTGCCTGGTGCAGTCACAATTCTTGTGCTGAATAAGTGAAACTGTGTTTTTAAAGCCGTGCTTAATTACTGTGCCACTGGTCAAATCAGGCCTGATGAACCGCCACAGCACACCAAGATGCCCCACAGTCAGTAGGGCCTCGTGGTGCTGGAGGAGTTCAGGACTAGGGTTGGGAGACAACACAATATAAAATAAGTCATGTATTATTTTGATTGAAAATCTGCTTTATTTTTAGTACAAGCAATCAATGAACCAATTAACCCCCTTTGTGCTATTAAAATGAAGCATTCTTTTAATGCCCAGTTAATTATTCCTCTATTAATACGCATTTAAATTTTTGCTTTATTATATCACTCCTGTACCTGGCAAAATCTCAAGTCATCCAAGTCAGTCTTTCATGTGCTTTTCTGGACAAGTTTCAGTTCTTGTTTAAGGAAGTAATAAAAACAATTTGTCATAGTTTTATTTTTCCTATGCTATTGGAAAAAAACTGGCAGGGTTGTAATCTGTGCTCTATTTGTACGTGAAAAAAAAAGTAGACAAATAATGAATATGTACTTCTGCTATCTTGAAAGATGTATTTTAGGAACTTTCAGTGAAAATACGATGTTAAGCCTAGGCTTTGGTGATGGGGGAACTAATGTTATATGTCAAAGATGCTATGTGCTTCACAGAGAGGTAGTGGGTTTCCTTCTATATTTTTACTTTTTGGGAAGCAACGCTATATTAAAATGTGCTCAAGAGTAAAGTGAATTTCATCGGAACTGACCATTAAGATAGCATCTTTCTCCTAAAGGCTAGTCAGTCTTCCTACGTTTGTCTAGGAATTGTCTACTTGGGAGGGGAGAGAGGAAAAAAGATAGGAAAGAAAGGAGTGGGGACAGCTGATTCTTCTAAAAAAATATTTTCCCAACGGGAAAAACTTACCCAGAATCTAACAGTGCAGGTCAGATGCTGGCTAAGCAAAAAGCTGAGATTTTTTAAATGAAAGAGACTGAAACTTGTTTATGCTTTTGAGAATCTGTTTGAGATCCTTGGAGTTTTCTCACTGCAGTTAAGAGTAAGCACTGTAATAGCCTGTCAAATGAAATTGGAGGCTTCGGCTCAAAAGTGCTTTCTTTGCTTTAGAATTCAGCTGCCATTTTCCAGCAAAGTTTGTTCCGGCAAATGCAGGCTCCTCTGTTTGGGAAATGCTTGTGCTGGGAGGGTGCTGCCAGGCGGGATCTGGGGGCTGAGGTACTGCTGCTGGGTCTGCGAGCCCGGACTCCCTCGTAGGAGCCATGCTACACCAGCTGAATCTTAACATCCCAGGTCACAGGCATGCACGGCAAGCTTTGACTTCTCAGTAGTTGGAGAGATCTGAAAGCATAGTAACACAGAGTATTACAAATTGTATGCTTGCTTCATTGCTTACTCTTCAGAAGAGGAGATAATTTGGGTAGTGACGTGCAACTCAGCTATTAGGGTTTTTTTGTTTGGGTTTTTTTTTCACAGAGAGATTTTAATAAGAAATAGCAGGAAGAAAGAGGTATAATTTAGGCAAAAGAAACCCCTGAAGTGCTTGCAGTACTGCGCGTTAAGAAAAGTGGTGACAATTAAAGATTTTGGTTGGTATAGAAAGCCATTGTGCAGTTAGGGGATTAGGTTAGGGTATTTGTTTCCCATGCCAAATCTAGATCCATTGTGTCGGGACGTTTGTTGTACAGTGCAGAAAACAAAGCAGTTAAGGTGCTCTAGTCAATAAGGACATCAAATTTTCCTGGTGAACTTTTCAGTATTTTTCAGAATAATGTTTTCTTAAGTTTAGATAACCATGATAAATACTGGGAACTACATAAAACAAATTTATTTCTAAAGAACCAGGCCAGCATGCTGTCTTGGCCAGCCATCCACTCTTCTCCCATAGGCACTGCCTCAGGATTTTAATTTCTTATTCCACAAATGGCTGGAAGCTTTTCTTTCAGGCACATCTCTTTGTTTCCAGAAGGAAAAGATAGAATTTAGTCCTCTGGAAGCTGATTGTCAAGGAGCAGTACAGTCCAGCTAATAATGGATGTGGGGAGAGAGATGGGATTAACTGCAGAGAAAGGGTAGGCTGGAGTGAAAAGGCCAGTGAAAAGCCCACAGCCCTGTCTCTAGCTGGCTGAAATTCCTGAGCCATTGCCTAGAGAAAGGAAAAATCCATCTGGCACCTACCCAGGTTAGTCAGGATAGGAAGAGCCATGCTTGGATGCCTTTTAACAAAAGTGGGAAAGAAAAACCAACAGTTCATCCTTCCCCCCACCCCCAGTTACCCAGAATATTGAGTCAAGGTTCCAGATTTGCATGCTGCTGTATGAGCAAAGGAGGGTTTGATGGGTTAAGGAAATTAAACTCCAGGTTGCTTTCGAGATCATTTGTTTATGGAGATGATCTGTGTACCACCCACTGCTGTGGGATTATATGTAAAGCAAACGAATAACCAAACAAAACATAAACACCCTGAAAAAAAAATTATTTCCAGTCCCACACCCAGCTGTGATCCATGGTTTTCCTGCAGTAAAATCATGATCTTTTTCTCTTTGAAATCAAAAAGTCTGCTTCTAGTAGTTCTGCTCCAGGAGGATAAATTTGTGAATCGAGTATGTGATGAATTATAAGGTAGCCCTGGTGCTTGGAGCTGTTACATAAAAGACACAAAATAAAACATGCTTGTTGTTGGATTTAATGCAAACTCACCTATGGCCAGTTATCTTTAATCACTAGCACAAAGAGGCAGAGAAAGCTCTGAAAACACATCTACTATTGAAACATGAAATGCAAAACGTTCTCCTACAAGCAAAAGGCCTTTGGGGAGGCTATGGCAAGGCTGAAAGGAGCCAGACCTACAGCTGATGCTTCACTTGAAGTCTTGTCGCTTTGCTCTGCTGTTCCAGCACTAGAGGCAGGGTCAGGAAGCATGGCACATGGGGGGTGTCCAGACAGGGCAGGAAGGATGCAGGCAGGTTAACCTCAGTGTTACAGTACCTGAGTGTGGGAAAAATTTCATACCTACATAACTGATTTTAAAAAGCACTGAGAATTTGTGATTTGTGATCAGATAAGGCCAGTAGGTTTTGTAGTTGTAGTCAAGTTAAATGTAAATATGCATATTGATGTCCTTTGGAGGCCATGAGAATTTTGGTTTCAGAAAGTGAGGTTTGAATTCTTTTTTTAAGGTACCTGACTTGTTTCCTGTGCCCCAGTGTCAAGCAAAACCCCTCCCTGTTAGTGCTTCAGCATTAAAAGAAAATACTTCTCAGTCCTCTTCTAATCATGGTGCCTTCAAAGGAAGACCAAATTAGGGGGATATAGCTTTGCTCATCCCTTCTCTTGCCTTTCCACCCTTTTTGTCTCCCATGCTGCCTCCTTATTCTTCGCAGAGAGGAGAGGGAAAACGCAAAGGCTCTTCCCCGTGTAGCTCTCCCTGGCTCGTCCTTCACCC